ACGAGAGCGTCGTCCACACTTTAAAGCGGTATATCTCAGCGATTGTTTATCGCAGAATAACGAGGTTTGAACAGTTATTCTTAGATTTTTTTACACTAAAACTTTAATTTTTGGCGCACACCCCCTTTAAACTTATTGATGTGTTTCACAGCAATCGAACTACGACATTCTCCTTTTCACGGAAACGTTTTTGGACGAGTCTATTGGTGATGGTGAGCTTGGTCTAGAAAACTATACAATTTTTAGATGTGATCGATCTAAATCTACCAGTTCACATACTAGAGGCGGAGGTACACTAGTAGCGGTGAAAAAGAAATTCCCAGTAATGCAAATAAGGTCACATGTCACCAACGTGGAACATGTATTTGTTTCTATAAGTCTAGGATCTAAAAAGCTACTTGTTGGCAATGCATGCATTCCACCTGCCTCTTCAATGGAAGTGTATGAAGCGTTTACAGAAGCGGTGTCGGTGATCCTACAGGAATCGATGTCAGTCAATATTTGTGATATTCTAGTGTGTGACTTTAACCTCCCTGATACATTCTGGTCAAATGATGAATATGGTGCCAGTCCTCTTGGAGTCCTCACTGGGGGAACAGCCTGTTTGTCTCATTGTATGGCATTTTTCAATTTAAACCAAATTAATTCAATTCCTAATGCTAGAAATAGGTATTCAGATTTAATTTTTTGTAATGTTACACCTGATGTGTATGCCATGCAATATCCTATTTTGAAATGTGATTCTCATCATCCAGCTTTGTATTTTAAATTGGTAACTGACAACTTATCTCAGAAACTCGAGTATGACTATGAATACAGTACAACCTCGATAATCCGAACTAATTATTGCTAAGGTCAGTTCGGATTACCGATTTGTTCGGATTATCAAAATGCATGGTAAATTTAACTTAAATATGCAAATAATCGAAAATAAGCTTTATTTTTTAAGACAAATATAAATGTACGTAATTAACTCTGAGTTTAACTTAGGTTAGATGAGTAAAACAATTATGTAATGTACTTTTTTTTTGCCTCATACTGGCTGCTCCTCCCATTTTCGCCTTCTTTTTCATTTCTTTGAGGGCCGGTTTTCTCACCTCAATGATAAGTTGTCAGGTATGCAATCTAACGGATAAAAAGGCAATCTCTAATCCCATTGGTCGGCTAGTTATCCGCCGACCAATAGAATTATAAAACAGTAATTTTATCTTGCAGATATTTAGGTACCAGGAAGATGAATAAACCGAGCTTTAGAATAAAAATGTCCTCAGCTGTTTCAGAATTTTGTTCTGCTCATTTTAAACAAGTCTGAAAACATTTTACTGCTTCTCTGTGAGTCACGTTGGTCTTCAGATTCTTCTTCGGATTCTTCTGATCTGGCTTTGAGAACATCATTACGTATTAAATTTTACGGAGCGCGTGTAGCGTAATGCGGTTTTCAGCAGTTGTTTGGATTATCAAGATTTGTTCGGATTATGCCTTCGAGCGTTCGCTGTTCGGATTAGTGGAGGTTCGGATTAATGCATGGTCGGATTATCGAGGTTGTACTGTACTTCAATTTCAACCTTGCTAACTTCACAGATATTAATATGTATCTAGCTTTTAGTAATTGGGATTTCTTATTTGAGAATGAAAATATTGATACTGCTGTTGACAAATTTTACGATATTATTGATACTGCAATTGAAATATTTGTACCAAGCAGAACGGCCAAAAACTTGAAATTCCCAAAATGGTTCAGTAATGAATTAAAATCAAATATAATTGGAAAGAAAATTGCTCATAAAAAATATAAAAATAGTTTATCTCCAAGTGATTATGAATCCTTCTCCAAAATTAGGTCAGAATGTAAATTAATGGTACAGGCAGATCATAGTAATTATATCAATGAATTAGAAAGTAACTTAACATCTAGCAAGAATTTCTGGAGATATGTGAATTCAAAGAAAGATAATTGTGAAATGCCAAAATGCTTGTTCTATGCAAGGATGTAAAAACTGACAATCCTACTGAGATTGTGAATTTATTTGCTCAGCACTTTGCATCTGCGTATGTTAATCACTGTGAACAGAATATTAATTTTACTTATTCTAGAACTACACAATTGTCCTCGTGAACCTTTACAGTCATGGAAGTGTTTGATCAGCTGGATAAATTAAATAATAATCTGGGATGTGGGATGGCTTAACAGTTCACTTTTTGAAAAATACAAAATTTGTCTTCTGTGAAAAAATCTGTTCTCTGTATAATTCATCTTTATCAGCTGGCATTTTCCCTATCAAGTAGAAAATGTGCTATGTAACCCCTATATACAGGGTGTCCCAGGGAAAACAGTCCACCCCCATTTATTGGATTTGGGAATTTGAGAATCTGGAAAAATGCTCGGACACGTCGATGTTTGATTTGAGGGGGAACTATCTTTCCGTTTGTTTCATCCCCGTAGCTTCAACCTGGGGAGAACAACCCCCCAAATTTGAATAGGGGATAGGGGTCGTGTCATACCTCTTTTTAAAGGTCTCATCGAGTTCCTCATGGCCTTAGAATTTCATCCTATTATTTTCATCCGTAACGAAATGACAGCTTGTCAAAATCTTAGAAATAGACTATTGTTTTACTAGGAGTGAAAGCGGTACTTATGTCCCTTAATAAAAATACGAGTAAAAATACCTACAATTTACAATTCTCGTGTACACCTCATCAATAATATTAATAAAAAACTTCAATTTCAAGTATTTTTATCAAGGGAGGTAAGTAACGCTTTTACTCCCACTAAAACAATAGTCTCATCAGCATGCTTTGCTGTTAGAACTGTCAAGGCTGAGCTGAGCGAATCGGTTGCTAGACGGGTGTATTTTTCTTTGATCGAGTCACATCTTAGTTATGGCATTTGCTTCTGGGGTTCTTGCTCATTAACATTGTTCAACATCATATTTGTTCTCCAGAAGCGTGCTATAAGGTCGTTATGTGGTCTTAGTCCACGGGACTCTTGCAAACCATTCTTTATAGACAGACGTATTTTAACCTTACCTTGTATCTTGATTTTAGAATCGGTGTGTCTCATGCAGAAGAAGCACTCCTCTAATATTCATGCTCCCTCCTTGGTCAATACCAGAAGTTCACATGTAATTGATCTACCAATTCCCACATCCTCGCTAACTCAAAAATCTATTCACTATAGGAGTAAGAAAATGTTTAATCACCTACCTCATAGCATAAGAACAATAAAGGAGAGTAGACGTTTCAAGAGACAAGTCAAAAAATTACTTTTGGCTAAGGGTTTTTACTCTGTAGAGGAATACTTCTCATCTCCTCTGTTTAATGGTCAATAATTTTAAGTTTTAATTTTAAGATTGTTTTTAATTTCAATGTTGAGCAGTCTTTCGATCTATTTTATCCAGTTGTTTTTATTCCAATTTTCTTCCTGTTTATTAACTTTATTTTTACGTACCTACTTTGTTGATGATTTTAATTTTAATTATATTATATTTGGAAGCTTTGTTATCAAGATTTGTATCTTTAAACAATAAAGCATATTTTGATTTGATTTGATATTTCCAAGATTTTGACAAGCTGTCATTTCGTTACAGATAAAAATACTGAGATGAAATTCTAGGGCCATAAAGAACCCCATAAGACCTTTAAAAAGAGATATGACACCACCACTATCCCCTATTCAAATTTAGCGGGTTGTTCTCCCCCTAGCTAGGGGGAGATTCTCATTCCAAATCCAATAAATCGGGGTGGACTGTTTTCCCTGGGACACCCTGTATAAGTCAGGGGATCGAGCTGATGTATCTAATTAAAGGCCTATCAGTAAAACATCACTTTTACCAAAAATCTTTGACTGTTTGGCATCATATAGAATGACCTCTCACTTATGAAGGGAAGGTCCACAGTAACAAATTTGGTAAAATATCAACAGGATTTGGTAGAAGCTGTGAAAAGAGGTAGTCAGGTTGACTCAGCCAGCACAGACTTTAGTAAAGCATACGACAGGATCAATATCTCCACTCTTGTAAAAAAATTGAAGGCGTTGGGGGTGACTGGAAGTTTATTGTTGTGGTTAGAAAGTTTTTTAATGGGAAGGGTGCAGATTGTAAAAAAAAAATTCGTATCCTCGAAAATTCATGTTTTATCTGGAGTACTACAAGGGGGACATTTGTCACCAATATTGTTCAATTGCTACATAAATGATGTCTTGGACTTCATTCTTCACAGTAGTTTATCGATATACGCAGATGACTTAAAATTGTATAAAATAATTTCAACTTTTGCTTTGGACTCTGGTGTAGAATATTAGCTTAGGCTATAGGTTAAGAATCCCTGTTAAAAATATTAATTTCGTTGAATTATCTGTGTTATTACACCTTCCTAAATTAGAAATCCGCAGGAGAAATCTTGGCATATGCTTTTTGTATAAAATTGTAAATAATTTAATTGATTGTCCTCCTTTGTTGGATTATATAAATATTTATGTACCTGCAAGAAATACACGACAGAATGAAATGTTCAATTATATCACAGGACAAATTATGGCTATTTTAGTCCTATATCAAGAATTTGCAGGGATGCCAATCAACTGCCAATAGAGGTAGATTTTTTTATTTATCCCTGAAGGGGTTGAAAAACAAAATACAACAGGGCTTTTAGTAGTAAATGTAATTTTAGGTAGTAAATTTATTGTTCAATTATCAGGTAATTTAAGATATTATTTAATTATTGTTCAGAAATTTATATTGTTGTAAATGACACTGGCTGGTCCCTTAATAAAGAATTTGCATTTGAATTTATAATTACCGGCCCAAGTATCAAGATAGAGAAATTACTCAAAAAAATATCAATTTTCTATGAAAAAAAAATTGTCTAGGGTTGAAAACGCTGAATATAATTTTAAACTGACGCATTAAACAGAGCCTCCTATAATAGTCAATGCATGTTATCATTCGAGATCGTTAAACAGAATATTAATAAAGGGATCTTACAGTTTGATAAATACTTACAAATACGATAACCGATAACCATAGGCAAAAATTCACATATTTTGTTTCCAACTAGCATTTTCTTCCAAATTTTATTACCTGTAGACTGCTCCTCAAGCAGAGCCAGAAGCAATCCAACAAACAACGACCAGTCGAAAATGGCGCGTTAGGCACACAATAACAAAAACAGAAGCAATCCAACAAACCCCGACCAGTCGAAAATGGCGCGTAAGTACGCACAAATAAACAAAAAACATATGTTTTCAAAAATGTTAATTTCTTGGGTACGTTCATGAAAGAACGCCCAGCGCTTGGCGCTCTAAGGGTCGCTTTTACAAGTAGAGTTTAAACTTCAGATTAAACTGCGGTTTAACCAAAAGTTTAAACCCAATGTTTAAAATAAAATACCATCTTTTACGTCTGTCAGTAAGTAGTTGTTACATTGAGTGGTTATTGTTTTGATCTGAAAAAATGGATTTGTTACAAAAAAGAAATCAAAAATTTCTCGGAACAAGAAATTAATCTATTAAAAGAGTTGGTCAAAATCAACAAGGATTCTCTATTTATTTATTGATTTGTTTCCCAAAAATAGGGTTATGATCTTAGGATTGTAGTTTAAACCAACCCCCAACCAACGGTAAAGTTTAAACTTAAGATTGACCATTAACCCAAGTTGTAAAAGTGTCAATTTTATAAAACTGTAGTTTAAACTTAAGATTGGAGTTTAAGCTCTACTTGTAAAAGCGGCCCGAAGATCACCCAAATGCGTTCATAAATGACTTCGGCTTTACCGATTTCGCTCCACGCGTCATAAAATGTAGGTCGATGTGCAGCAAGCATAATACACACTAGGATTGCTTATCGGCCTCGTTTTTGGTAATCGCCGCTATATTGGTGCGTCACTATTTCCGACGTCATTAACAAGTCGTCAGCTGCTTGAACTAGAGGTCGTAGTTTACAATTTAAATTTATGATGAAAAATATTATTCAATTTTGATTAACATGATAGGCAAAGAGGAAGATGAAAACGAGATCTAAAAAAGAGTTGTTTTGGAATGTTAGTCAATGTAGTAAAAGTAAGTAAGCATAAGGCAAAAGCCTGCTGAATCATAACCTGTGGTGCAAACAGCTACGTCAAGGCGAGAAAGGACATGCTGCTTACGTCATAGCTGGTAATTTGACGTGGCGGAGGGGTTTTAAATTTGTTCCACACAGGCCTTATGAGAATAGGCTATTCTGTAGTAGTGTTGTTTATTTTTCTTGGGTGTGCACACAAAGCGCGCCCGACATGACCTGCTAGCTGGCTTGGATAAAAGTGACCCGACATGCGCAGTACGTTTCACATTTGATTTGGGTTTTCATTTGTGTTTGATAACCTGAAAATCTACGAGATTTTCGATATTTTGAATTCTAAGTTCCAATTTGCAATTCTTGAAATTGGTAATATGGAGCAGACAGATGTTGAAAATAATCCCGAAAATTTCAAACTGATTGAAGTAGATGGATCATCATATGCAAATGAGGAAAATCACATCTATTTGCAATAAACTAATAAGCAACACCTTTTCCCTTTTCTATTCAAAAACTTAGGTCAAGATGAATTTCACGAATATGACCATTGACGGACGATTCTTGATGATTCTGCCAGAAAAAATTACGCTACGCCCATTCATACATATTTAAGCCGTGGGCACAGCTTCCCTGGGTGCAATCTAAAGCCGTTTTTATGCGGTCACTTTTTTGACATTGGTTACACACCGGTTTGAAACAGTCAATGGAAGTCAATGGAATCACCATTGCCTGTTTTAAATCTGTTTTGAACTAATGTCAAAAAAGTGAACGCGAGAAAACGGCGTAAGTAAATATCGCTCTGGGGGCATTATTTGAAATTGATAGGTCTGTTTGTTATCCTCCACTAGTGCACAATAATTTACACTTTTCTGCACTTAAGGCGTTTGTTATGCGGTTAGTGCAAATAGTGTAAGGCTTACTTTTCATGCATCCGTTTTCCGACGAAATATGTCCGAAAAATCTTCTATTTTGACATATTTTTATACGATTATGTCAGAATAGAATGTTTTTCGTACATCTTTCGTCGGAAAAACGGATGCATGAAAATCCGGCTTACAGCCTAGTACTCATAACTGCGAAATTCGCACTTTTTTGACATTGTTCCGACAATTTGACGTTTGATTCACGTAAAAAACGTCAATTTGTCGAAGCAATGTCAAAAAAGTGCGAATTTCGCAGTTATGAGTACTAGGCTTAAGACGTTTGTTATTTCAGTGTACGGTGCCCAATATCGCACTACCTACACCTACTCAAGAGGAGGTGTAACAAGTGCAGCATAGAGAGGGGGCAATAGTGTTGTTTTGTTTGGCTGTTACTATATTTATAAACATATAAACCTCGATTAATAGTAATTAATATGAAACTGCCTCTTGAATTCGATATCTGGGTATTAAAAATTACTTAAATGAAATTGACCTCAAGCTGGAAGCTAGGGAATCTCCATCTTCTCTATAATTTTCGACAATAAAACCTTGTAAATTTTATTTTTTTCAAAAATATTTCTCATTTTTTTCTCGGTTAGTTTTTACTTTAATTTATTTAAATAATCATATTTTCAGTTTAGAGAATTATCCGCTCCTATCGCTACACGAACTGCACTAACGCGTTTGGTAGTTTTCCTTTACCCTGGGGCGCGTTCAGATTGAAGAGTCTGGGCGACGTCCAGTGCATTGCGTCGACAATTTGACGTTTTATGCGTGTATCAAACGTCAAATTGTCGAAGCAATGTCAAAAAAATGCGAATTTCGCAGTTATGAGTACTAGGCTTAACCGTGTAAAGCCTAGTACTCATAACTGCGAAATTCGCATTTTTTTGACATTGCGTTGACAATCTGACGTTTTATGCGTGTATCAAACGTCAAATTGTCGAAACAATGTCAAAAAAATGCGAATTTCGCAGTTATGATTACTAGGCTTTAAGCCAGCGTCCGGATAAAGCCTAGTACTCATAACTGCGAAATTCGCACATTTTTGACATTGCTTCGACAATTTGACGTTACTACTAAAGTTAACTTCTGGAATTACATGTAATTCAAAAAGTTAACTTTAAGTTAACTGTCAGAGCAGTTTTATAATACCCACCCTTAATAGGATTGATAAATCGGAAAATAGAATCGGTATTTTGACAATTCGATACAAATTTCGTCTCGACTCGTAAAATAGAATCCGGCAGCTGGTTTAAGTAATGTCACCATGACGTCATGATTTCTTGGCGCGAGAAAATGGTTTGAAAACGTGGATTGGATTGTATTTCGAAACGGGTTGAACCAATTTTGATGTGACGTCATGGGTTTATCGCGAGAATGTAGTTTTTCAAAACAGTTTTGAACCAGTTTCAAAAAGGTGGACGCGAGAAAATGCCTCAGGGCTGACGAACACCGGAGTCCAGTGACGCACTTCCGGCACTCCTGGAGCGCCCCGGACTGTTTATAGGCGTTCCAGTGCAATAGAGTTTCGCGCTACTGAACTGTTCATTTTTCCTCACCCCTGCCTTCTCAAGCACCAGCAATTTCATGGGTACATCAAAACACGACGCTTAAACCTTGCGTTCGGTATATTGCTCAAAGAGCAGAGCGTGCTGAGCGGAGCCGTAATCACGTGACCAGCGAGCGAACAGAGCAGTTGAACGCTGTTTAAAAGCGCCAGAAATTTTAATAAACGAACGCGAATGAGGCTGCACCGAGTACACTTTTTTAATAAACGAACGGTAAAGTCAAGCTCGGAGAACTCAGACCAAAATAACGAACGCACGGAAAGTAGGGTGCGTTCCAGTGACACAACTTGTTTGGAGCCTCAGAGTGTGAAGCCACGGGTGTGGAGCACCTTAAAATTCGTCACTGGAAAGCGGCTCGGAGCGAGTAGCTCTAGTTTTTTAAACTCTTGGAACGAATACTTCTTTGATCCATCGAATTTGACGGAACAAGGAAGAGCGCTGCCTGCGAGATTTTTGGGAGCGTTCTATTGCTCAAGTCCAATACGTGAATATCGCCGAGAGCAACACTGCTCCACTTTGAGCCGAACATGTGAATTCGTTTCGGATCGCTTTTTGATAGTCGAAAGCGCTAAAATTCACGTGGTTTGGATTCCCCAGTTTTGTGAGGGTTAGGTTAGGTCCTTCTCCACCTCCTCAGTCCTCACCTTCGCCCATCCGTCCACACTCGGACACTCCACAGTAACAAGCTTGGTGGCGTTACCAAAGGCGATTTCGGCAAGCTTTGGTTGGTATACCATTTGGTTAACCAATTGGTACCTGCAACGTCATAGTAATGACGTAAGATACCATTTTGTTCCGAATTCGTTTGGTAGGTCATAGGAGAGGGGAAGAGACGAGCCTTAACCTAACTTTGTGTTGTTCTTCTAGTTTTGGGAGTGACTAGGTACTGACTGCACTGACTAAAATGTATAATCACTAATCAGCACTGTCTAGACAGTACCTTTGAGTAACTCAGCGTTTTCTGTAAATTTAAAGCTGTTAAAGTTACCTCATATCTGTCGTTCAGAGCCGTTTTTCAAATGATCGTCAAACATTATTTGGCAGTCAAAACATACGAGAAATCAGGAAGATGAAGGCGAAAAAACAAACATATTTGTTAAAAATTTCAAATTATTCAAATTCTAATGAACTTCCATTTATTTACATTTTCCAGAGCAGGACAAAACGAAAATAGACGTAGATAGCACTATACCAAATAGAAGAACCGTGCTGCTGACCACGGTATCCTATTTGACAGACCAAAAAGGATACCAAAGTCACGGTGACGACATCATTTTCGTATCCGAAATTGGTTGGTATGCATTTGACAGACCAAACAGGGTACCAAACCATGTACCAAAGCTTGCCGAAATCGCCTCAAAATAATTCACCATATTAGTTAGGTTAGAATCGCAAATTGGCGCGGGTTCCTAGTTCAAAAATTAATACATTGATGTCTTATGGGAACTCAATTTTAAAAGCGTCTGTAGACGTGATAGAATGTTTGTTAGGGAAGTGAGTTGTATAAATAGTTTTTTTAATATGTTAATTAACTGAGAGAGTGTTTGAAAGTTGAATAAACATTGTTAAAATAAAAATATTACCAATTCAAGAAGCCGATGTTTGTATAAAATACGTATGTCGTTGCTTGATCCATAAGTATATATTAGGCAATTCAAACCACGTGACATTCAAGATGGCGTGGCGGCCACACATGGGCCCAAAAACACAAAAAAATATCTAGTTTCTGCCCGACTTAATAGTTTACGTACCTCATCAACAAATATTTGATAAAATAATCAAAATCAAAGTTGCAAGCAAAACTCTAAGCAAAATAATTTAAAATACGCATAAAAACATATTCAAAACAAACTTGCTTCGCCGCCACGCCATATTGAATTTTCCTTTTTGACAGATGGATTGAATTGCCTAATATGGGTACCTACCTATAATTATAATAAAATAAAAGTGTACCTACATACTTGGTTAGTAGATGTACTTCCAATAATCCAAAAAATGGAAAAACAAATGACTGAACCAGTGATAAATAAATAAATAAACAATTCACCAACAATCATAACACAACACACAACCTCACTTTCTTACAGCTGATTTTAGACCCGACGTACGTCCACCGAAAACAGACACTTTTAATTAAAATCATTTGTATTTTTAATTCTTAGGTCTAAAAAACAGTTAGAGCATGAATTATAGAGAAATATGTTCAAAGTTTGACCTATAATAGGTTCAAATACTAAGAAATGCCCAGAACCCAAGATATTCCCGTCTGAAAATCACTCTTTTGAATCCCCCATAAAAATACATTGCTGTCAAATTTGTTGAAATGTGTTTAGGAACCCATTTTAAATTTCGCGCCCGATTTTTCCTAACCTAACTAATATGGTGAATTGATGAAACCACATTGTTCTCATATACAGGTGTGAAATTTAATGAATATCTACGTTATGTTAGAGAAACAGTCAGAAAACTAGTTTCAACCGATGAAATTCACTCTGACTGGTTTGTGATTTCTGCAGAAACAGCCCTATCGTTATATGCAGATGATTTAAAGTTGCATAGGTTCATATCAGACTGTAAGCAGACTAGATCTGATTGTTTTGATCTGTGGTGTTACCTAAATGACCTAATCCTTGATTTAAACATAGAGGATTTAAATAAATGTGAAACTATAACCTTGTCCAAATCTCATGTATAATTTTTTTATCATTGAAAATTAAATGATCAAAAAGTTGAAAGGGTGGACCCTATTAAAGAGTAGGGAGTTACATTTAGTCAGGATCTAACATTTAACTTGCATTTTCAAAATATTTGTAATAGGGCAATGAAACTTTTGGGATTTGTAGGTACCTATTTCGCACCCTTAAAGATTTAAATTATAATTTTACCATAAAAAGTGTTTACTGTTTGTAGTGAGATCGCTACAATGACCTGTTGCGGTTGCTGAGTCTTTCTAGTTTAGACGCACATAGAAGGAATTATGATATTTGATTACTTTTTAAGTTGCTTAATAACTTAATTAACTGCCTCCCCTTTGGTAAACAGCATTTCCCTGCATGCCCCTGTGAGACAGACCAGGCAAGTGCAACTTTTTCATACTGGGTATCATAGGAATAATTATGGTTTTTACTGCCCTATGGCTAGAATATGCAGATAAGCTAATCAGCTACCCAACAATTTATTTGGCATGTCCCTGAAAACTTTTAAACAGCTGTTAAATGGTCTGCAGCGTTATATGATATGTCCCATAAATGTTAAATTTCAAATAAGTATAATAATGTATTTTGTTGTTTTTTTAAATATTAAAACTTATTAATGCATGAGTATATTTATGAACAATATGGTGAATTATTTAACTAAAGAAAAATTTAATGTTTTTTTGTGTTATATTTTCTTTATTTGATATTGGAGAAAAATGAGTCAAGTTTAAAATTTATCGACTTGTTTCCATATATGTATTCCGCACAATTTAGGTTTTGAAATGTGTGTGTGTGTGTGTATGTGATTACCATATTTTTTACCTTAAAACCAACCATTAGACACAAAACCAGGCCTGCCAAAGAAGTTACTGTGAGGTTTAGGTAACTATAGCAAATTGCAATTTAAGTTTGTAAAAATAAAACATATTCTTAAAATGTATAAAATAAATGGCTTTATTTACACAGAAGTAAAAAGTATTCTAAAAAACATGCCCATACGTTGTACTTTCAGTAAATATAGGATAAAAAATATGATAAGTCTAATAGAAATTTAAAAAGTCATAGGAAAATTCTCAATCTAAGCAATGTGATAAAATAAAACGAAAACTTTTTACAAGTAAAATAATAAATAAGGGAATATTATGTAAAAAATGGTCCCAGTTGGTAGTTGCTAGTCAGCAACTCCGCAATCTGATAAAATAGAGAGGAAAAAATTCTTACAAGTAAAATAATAAATAATGGAGCATGTGAAAAATAATTGGAAGTTGCTACTTAGCAACTACCCCACGCCCACATGATATAATACAATAGAACATTCTTGAAAGTAAAATAATATATAACAGAAAATATGTGAGGAATGCCCCCCATTCAGCAGCTGCTAGTTAGCAATTGTGCAACGTGATAATATAAAGAGTCAAATAATAATAGAACATAATAATATGTGAAAAATGGTCCTATTCGACAGTTGCTACTTAGCAATTGCGAAATGGGCAAATTTTTCAAAAAAGAAACATGATATGGCACACTAGGAATTTTTGTGTGAGTAAACTCAGAGAGATTATATGTGATTTTCCTTTGTAGACTTGAAATTTCTCTGAAGCCTCTAAGAACTTTAACACAGAAAAAATTGAGATTCCAAAAATCACTTCAAAAGTAACATTTTAGACATTTTTAACGCAAATGTAAAAGTAAATTATTAAATATTTTATTGCCTTCCCATTTGGAATGGTTTATCCGATTCAAAGTCAGACAATTTAATTTGAAACAATAACTTATCCAAAAATTTAAGGATATAAAATCAATTCTTTCCTGGGCGATAGTATAAAAGTATGTATATACCTACTTAAGGATTTTAACATTTATGAGCTATGGTAATGACTATGAACTGTTGTGTGTGTGATGATTTTTTAATGTAAAATAGATGATGATACTGAATGGATGTCGCTTGCTTACACGACCGCAATGAGCAAAAGAACACCCATGCGCGTTAGTTGAAATAAATCAAATAATTTGAAGTTTTGAAATATTTTTCTGCAAATGCTGCACCGGCTATGGTGGGAGCCGTCAGCGCTATGTCATTATTTGATAGAACGTAACCCGTGAAAAAGCTGCATTTGACAGCATCCATCATTGCAGTGGCAATACCTAAAAAATAAAATAAAAGAATTTGAGAAAAGTAAAGTTCACTAGGGTCTTACTTTGGTGAGAGTGTAATTTTTGAAAAACTTTCGTGTTTCATGTATTTTTATTTTAAGATGGACTCAGTGGCGTAACTTCAGATTTTGGACCTGGGGGCAGAGTGGTTTGGCGAGGCCCAGTTACAATATTGCAGTGGTGTATGCAATATTCTGTTTGTCTAAGGGCCAAATTATGGACCAACTGACCGACCAATGGGATTACAGATTGCGTTTGTATCCGTCAGATTGCATATATCTGACAGTTTATCCAGAAGGTGAATGAACCCACTCTAACTTATAAGATCCCGGAATACAGAGCTGTCGTTTGGAGATAAAATGTATGTCATTCGGCCCAGAAGGTCTTTTTGGGCTTCGCTTGATTGTTTTTTTTTCGATACCGTGGGAAAATCTCTAGATTGGCGGCGCCTTTGATCTGAAATTACGTGGATTTGACCCGGGCCAAACGGTTAACCGTGAAACATGATACTCCTGTTTGTTCCCACATTAAACGTCGACAGCGCGCTGATTCACGAATATTTCCTATTTACAACTACGGCATCCTGTAAAAGGACACAACGAACTTCACACTATGTACGATAGATGGCGCCACCGATAACATCATGACGTCGTAAAATTTGGGATCAAATCCACGAAATTTTGGTTCAAAGGCGCCGCCGATCTAGAGATTTTCCCACGGTATCGAAAAATTTCTCAGGCTCAGGTGCTCCCGCTACTACTCCCATTTTTTGTTCTAATGACATAAATAGCTACTATCATCCCCTATCACTAATTTCACCTCTGGCGTCCAGAAATTCGAAACACTAGAAAGATATTTTTGGCCCTGAAAAAGGAACAAAAGTTATTTTTGAGCGTGGCTACTAAAAAAAGTTTCGCCTCCTGCTCCAACTAGGGTTACCACCTTGGCCTTTCTTCAAACAAATTGTGGCAGTCCTGTCATATCATTGCTTGTTTGCTAGCGTAAACTTTGAAGTCTTCTACAAATGTTTTTGGGAGTGGCACCCGAATAAATCCGCGGTTTTTCGGCGAGCTTCCTTCAAGCCTAGTTCTCATGGAGCGGAAAATCGCGTTGCGGGTGCGGAATATCGCGTTCCATAACTTGCCCGTTCACATGAAGCGAAATTCCGCAAGCGGATTTTTAGGTATATTTAGGGTATTTCACATGATATTTTAGAGATTTTTATCAAATGTTGTACCACACATTTCACAGGTGACAGTAAAAAGTGACAGAGAATAAAAATTCGCGCAAAATAATTCAACTTTTTTGCGATATCGCAATAAGTTGACATTTCCCCGCTGAGGGACAAATTTTAAAAATTCCGCGTTCGCCACGCGATTTTCCGCTGCATGAAAACTAGGCTTTGGTATACAATTTCCCTGCTTTCTACGGCTCAAACGGCCAGTAGGCTCGAGAAATCCAGGGCCGGTCTGACCTACCCCATCCGCCCCTGTGCAACATGAATTTTCCGTAATTGATATTTGGTATTTGAAATACTATTCACCAGTATTTGTGACAGCTCTGCCCGGAAATAATTATTTTGCGGAAACCGCCTACCATCTGATGCATGGGACCTCGGATGGGGCCCAAGAGCCTCTGGGCCCGGGGGCCACGGCCCCCTCTGCCCCCTCGGTAGTTACGCCACTGGATGGACTTGATCTACACCTGAGAGCGTTAATCTATTTTTCTATAGATCAAGCAATTGGAGAGGAACTAAGTGACTGGAAATTGAAGTGGAAAATGAAGCACTAGAAGTTGTTTTCATTAAATCCAGTTATTCTTGACTCCATTTCAAGTCCTCGGCAGCTAACTGGAGCAAAGCACTTGAAATCCTGAACACTAAGGCATGACCTACACAGGCATCATCTAAAAGGTTTTATGTCTCTATGATTAGTAAACCTGCGTAGGTCATGCCTTAGCGTTCAGGATTTCAAATACTTTGCTCCAGGATACGTTTTGGATCGTGTCTATTGATACTGTCTGTCCAGAAATGATAACTGAATAAAATCAGTTGATATTTCAAGAATTTATTTTTTATTATCTTAACTATTAAATTAATGAATAAATTAAAATTAGTACTGACTGCTAGTTACCACAGGTTTCAATTTAAATTTAAAAAAAGTAAAGGCTTGCATTATGTATAAAATTCTTTCCTATCTGGTTTTAGAGTATGCCAGTATCGTAAAAGAGCACTTCCAAAATAGTAGGTAGACATCTCAAATAAATCGAAAAAACCAAGGAAGACTTCAGGAAGACTATTTTGTACACAATGAAATTTTTCGAAAACCACAAAACCTAATTCAAAAACTAATGAACATTAGAATAATGCATCACTTGACCTTGACCCCTGCTCCAATTTAAAATTGTAGGGAATCCCATTCCTGCTTAGAGGTAAAAGGGTAAGGGATGAAGCTCATCCAGGTTTAGGTGTGGAAATTTGGAATGTATTTCCCAGAAACAAGAAATTTGTATTCCCCAGAAACCAAAATCAACAGGTTTGATCTTTTTTTGAAAATACAGAGATATTATAAATCGGACCTGGGACCTGCTTCGTTTTCATTTCACCCACTACATGTATTTACTGGGTAAACTATACATGGCAGAGACGAACTCTGACCTATCAGTCCTTGAATATTTGTTCATTTAGAGTAGAACAGAAAATTATTTATTGAAACTTGTGATAATATAGGACAAATAGTAGTTTTCAATAGGTTGAGGTTTTTCCACTTCACCGCAAAGAAATACACATTAAAAAATAATAACACAAATTGTGGAGGAGGCGTGATAAATTAATAACTCTTAACTTATTACCTTGTTTCCTAAAAGAAGCCCGCACCCAAATGTGCGAAATGCCGCATTTGATTGGATAGGGCTCTTTGGAACACATAGAAACACCAATGTGATCGCCCAACATAAGGTGACCAGGTTCTTGGGGCGACTTGGCAACCACGCAACCTGCTATGGTGCGATTTTTGATGTACATATACACCTGAGACTTGCTGATGTCATTTAATACACCGTAACAACCAAGGTCACGATTGACAAGAACCATAAGGTCTTCCACCTTTTTCAGCCAGACTTTGGAGTCAGAGGGTAAAATTCGGATGATGCGGCCGTCTGATAGGTGGTCGGCTACCACACGTTCATTTTTCCAACCCTAAAAGATATATTTTTTTTTTCAACATTCGAATTATCGCTGTTCTCATATTAGTTACTTACACTAAATCGAAGCACTTGAAGTGCGTTGTGGTGGCTTGAGTGCTGGAGTTCGTCATTTGGATCACCCTGGTGATAGCAAATGTTGCACTCAGTACACTCGGTAAGTCCAAAACGTTTCTGACCGGCATCCAAGAGCATTTGGTCCGGACCTAAGACTGTCACACAAAAAAAAAAAAACATTAGCCTCGTTTTTTTTTTTCACAATATTCCCCATACCTTTAAATCTCTTTGCATGTTTCTCTAACACATCACTATCACAGCTTCGCTTCTCCCCTCTCTCATTATCATCTTTTTTTAGTAGGCCAGCAGTAGCACCTTTTTGAAACACCGGAAACAATTTCCGTTCTTGCTGTTGTTCTGCCATTTTATCTGCATTGGAAAAAGACAACATTTTTGATGTGCCTGAAGACATTCGCAAGTTTTTCGGTTTTTGGGGACTGGTTAGCGCCAAGCCAGATGTTACATCACACATTTGTGAAATCGGTGATAGAATATTGGTTGACCCTCGATGGATTGAACCTACAGAAATAGTGGAGCTTTCATCGGCTAAAATCGATAGGATATTTTCGATGTTTACTTGGGGTGGTTCGAATTCGTCTTCAAACTCGTAGTTGGTAGCCAATGAAGGTGATTTTTCAGCTTCATTGACCTCATTTGCAGTTGCATTTAATTGAGGAAATTTTTCAATTTTAGTGCCCGACTGAACGGTTCCTTTGTTGGATTTATTGGTCAGTTCTGACAAATCTTCTAGGCATGTGTTCGATATTTCGCTATTATGGACTATTTTTGCGGTAACTGCGTCTAACTGAGGAGGTTTTTGACGTTCAGCGTCTTTACTTGCATGAATTATGGTTGCTGCTTTCGGTTTATTGTTTAATTCTGACAAATCTTTGAGGTATTCATTCAATATCTCGCCATTTTTTAGAAGCTTTTTGTCCACTGGTTTCCGCTTTGGCCGTCTAATTTTATGCCTTACTCCATTATTAATTTGCCCTTTAACAAACTTCTTAGGATACTTTCGATTAATTTTGTTCGGTATAACCGGTAATTTCCGTGATCGCCAGGAGTTTCTGTCTTTATAATCATAGTTTTGTTGTTTCTGATTGCCATAAAATAACTTTGTTGACAGAGGTGCGTTTTCAGTAGCTGGAAATAGAGCCGTGCGTACTTTTGAGCATTTCTCCGGCGAATTCTCTTTTCTTTTCTGATTTTTAGACTCTTCCATTATTATTCTTTGCTCCTTTTCCATCACATCATTACTGCTAGTATCATTATTGGGAGTACTGAGGGATTGAGACCATGGACTACGCGTCAGAGAGGATATGTTCTCAGGAGAAGTTCTCTTAGGTGTCTTAGGCACGTCATTGTCGCTGTCTGAGCTATCTAATCGACACATGTAGCCAAGTTCCGACTCTTCGTTGGAGGAAGTGGTGGTGGAAGGAAATAAGTTGCGCCTACGCTCTAAAATGTAGGGGGACCGTATGGACTCCTTGTGGTCCCTGCGCTTGCTGAAGGTGGAGGTCATTTTAACTGCAATTTTTTTTTGTCTTTGATGAATTTGGAACAGAACAGAGGAAAAGATATTTCTCACTTAATATTAAAAATATACAATTACATCAAAGGTAGCATTCTTAGAGGTAGAGTTCTCTCATGTTACCCCACTAAAAAGTATCAACTAATATTGAACTCTTTTAAGATAGAATAAAATTGTACAGCATGTTCTGCAACAAATGGGACTTATATTTACACTTAATGTTGGGAGGGAGATGTCTCATTGCATCATATAGACGTGCCTAGACGCAGAGTGCCCGTATGTAGCCACGCCGTATGTGCCTACTTCCTAAATTAACATGTGCGGTGCGGAGCAATATTATATCTAACAACATTTCTATGGAAATCGTGAGGCTCCTGCCCAGATACTAATGATACTATACAATCCCAAAGATAGTCCGGGCATCTGAACCTGTTGATCCGTAAATAAATACACCTACGTGTAAGATATAGACCCTGAGATAGGGCCTGTTTAGTGGAGTCATTTTTTTTTTGTCTGGCATTTTGAGGGATGAATGTGGCTGGTTAGCTGATGAGAATATAGGTGGTTTTAATGCCTGCCACCTGTTCGAAATGTCCACAGAATGTTTCGCCGGAAAACTCGACTTCGAACTGAGATTACCGTCTGGCGATTTTTCAGCGATATTTTCACAACAAAACCTTCCATTCTCTCGATTACCAGACAAAAAGTAAACACGGAAGGTTCTTTTCTTTTCTCTTGGAAGTTGAGAAATCAATAAACAGATAACTGTGAATAAGGCGGAAGAGTCTACAAATAAGAATCTGAAGGTTGAACTCATGGAACTGCAAACACTGTGCCGTGAAATGGTGTCTTCCGTTCGCACGTTGGAATCGGAGAATCACAGACTTTCAGCTGAATTATCGAGAATTGCAGAAGGTATCCAACAAGTTACTCCCAACGATGACTCTAATGGGGGAGTGACTTCAGGGGTTACGACTGTCTTCCCTGAAGGGGACTTGTGCCGTAAGGTTTTAATTCTGGGTGACGAAAGTGGAAAAAATTGTGGTCCAGTTTTGTGCAACCTGCTTGATGATTTGTCATTTAAGGTTTTTAGTTATATTAAATCAAATGCACCACTGAGAGAGATTGCTAATGACATATTCAGTCTAACGCGAGATTACTCCCATAACGATTCAGTTGTAGTATTCTTACGTGTTAATGCAAAATTGATGAACAATATCTTCGTGTTAAAGCAACTTTTCTCAGTTGGTCGATACACTAATATAGTAATGTGTTTCACATATAATGATTATGTTTATAATAGCCCCGTTTATAGAAAGATATATGCTCTTATTGGTGCCTTCACCAGTAGAAATAACGTTTCAATTAGAATAATAGATAACTTTAGGGTACGCGGTGGTCACAGACACAATAGCTCTACGTTTGGCAGATTGTTGGTCAATTATGTCACTAAATCGCTGCATTTTAATATAGTTAATGTGTCTGTATCCCATGGGAACATGATCTTAACTGAGAGTCATGGTATTGTGAACAATCCTAGTGGTGATACCACTGAGGAATTTAATGCGACTAGTCGCGTAGAGAACGATTCCGTTTTGGAAAAGACAGTTGGTTCTGGGGCTGCTCCTGGGTTGGAGGATCAAAATTTTTGGGATCCAGTAATTTCACTGGCCTGTCCCTAGTTCTTCTTAATGTACAGTCGGTAAGAAACAAGGTGAATGAACTTCCTGATGTTTTGCTTTTGACAGAGCATTGGCTAAGGTCGGAAGAACATTTGGTGATTCCCAATTATACTGCTATTTCGAAATATTGTCGTCAAGTAAAGGGTTATGGTGGTACAGCTATTCTTGTGAATGAGGCACTATGTGATGCAGAGGATTTTGAAGCAGTTAATGAATTTGATCAGATAATTGAGGAACAGGTTTTTGAATTGTCAGTGGCTTACTGTAAGAATAGGAATGTATATATTTTGTGTGTATATCGTTCGCCCAATAGTAGGGTTGTGGACTTTCTGTATAAGCTCGAGATTGTTTTATTTCAAGTAGGTGGTGCTGCGAAGATTGTTGTTTGTGGGGACTTAAACATCGATTTCTTGAATTTGGCTGATCCTGGAGCACGAATGCTTTCGAACTTGCTATTATCCTTTGGACTGCGTGTCATGCCTGACAGTCCTACACGTATAACCCCCTCATCCTCAACTTTAATCGATTATCTATGTACAGATATGAATGTTGTTAAATGTGAGGTAGTCAATGCAGGTATTTCAGATCACGAAGCTATTATTTGTACACTCGAAGTAATTAGCAAAGACAAACCAAAACGTTTTAAGAATGGTAGAATATATAGTAAAAGAAACTTCGATAGATTTTCGGAATTGTGTAATGCAGAGGAATGGGTGGGCATCTTGAATGAAAATAATCCATTGGAAATTTTTCATGATAGACTGTACCATGTGTTTGACAAATCATTTCCAATTAAGCGTTTGAAAAACAAAAAATCCAAAAAACCATGGATGACAAGGGGTATTCGAATTTCGTCCCGAAATATGCGATCGTTGCATTACATAAGAAAGTTTAGCCTTGATAACTTATCGTTTATGACATATTTTAGAGAATATAGAAAAATTTACAAAAGGGTTTTAACTTTGGCCAAACAGTTGTACTACAAAGGCAGAATATTGAACTCTGCAAACGTTCCAAAGGAAACGTGGAATATTGTTAATGAGATGAGGGGAAAGTCGCGCAAGAATAAGGTCGATTCTATTCTCACGCCTGATGATTTGAACTCTTTTTATTGCTCTGGTGCGGACATTCTCTCTAGTCAACTGCCGAAAACGAATAACTTCCAGACTCTGTTTAAGGATGATCGCGTTTTTCCAACATTTTTTATTGCGCCCACCGACATTTTAGAACTCAAAGCGACATTTAAGGATGTAAGGAATTCCAGATCATCAGGTTGGGATCATAATATGTCTGTGAGAGTTTTTTCCTGTCTTCCAGACACAGTGCTCAGTGTGTTGGAGGAAGCCATAAATATTTCTTTTGTCTCCGGTTCATTTCCGGCTTGCCTGAAGTTGGCTAACATTCTTCCTCTCCATAAGGGTGGAGATCAGAACTGCCCTTCAAATTACCGACCCATAGCTCTGTTACCTACACTCTCCAAAGTAGTAGAAAAGTTAATCAAAAAAAGAATGACTTACTTTCTAGCATGCAATAAAATTCTTGCGCCACAGCAATTTGGTTTTCAAGCATCCAAAGGGACGATGGATGCAGTGTTTGCTTTTCTTGAGGGGCTCTACTTGGGGCTTAATAACAGGGAGATTGCTGCAGCAGTGTTTTGTGACCTGTCTAAAGCATTTGACTGTGTCAGTCACGGAACGCTGCTGTGGAAACTGGAGGCCTATGGGCTCAGGGGAGTCGCTCTAAGGTGGTTTGAGAGCTACTTAAGTAACAGGCATCAGAGTGTCAGCTTTAATGGTATTTCGTCCGAGCAGAGAGAATTGCATTATGGAGTTCCTCAGGGTTCAGTTCTGGAGCCTCTCCTTTTTCTGATTTATGTTAACGATTTTGCTTACGTTGACATCTCTGGCCGCTTAACAATGTTCGCGGATGATACTACCATTCTCTGGCACGGTAACAGTGGCACGGTAACAGTGGTCCAGAATTGACAGAAGTGATTAATAGTGATGTTTTAAAGATAAGGGAATGGTGTGATGCGAATAATTTAACACTGAATTTATCAAAAACTAACATCATGAGTTTCAGATGTGAGATAGGGAATGTAGGTTTAGGCAATAATATGTTAGCTAACTTGAATGAAAATAGATTTTTGGGAATATATATAGACGGTAAATTGAATTTTGATGCACATATTAGGAATCTGAACTCCGTATTGTCAAGAAATTCTTATGCTATCAGGATGCTTTCGAATGAGCTAGATTTACACATTGTGAGGAATGTTTACTTTGCACTGATAGAATCTCACTTGCGATACGGAATTTGTTTTTGGGGTTCATGTACGAGGGGTTTATTCAATAGTGTCTTTCTACTGCAGAAAAGGGCAGTCAGATTTATGTGCAAGGTATCGCGCTGTAGTTCTTGTAGGGAACTGTTTGTGAGGCACAGATTGTTAACGCTATCAGCGTTATTTGTGCTGGAGTCTGTGTGCCTCATACATAGGAAGTATAGGGACAATATTTTGACAAGTCAACACACCTACAACACACGGAGAACGTTCAGTGTAGAGCTGCCGATACCTGTCTCTTCACAAATAAAAAATTCTTTAATATTTGCTTCTAGACAATTGTTTAATAAACTGCCTCTCGAGATCAGGCATATTCAATTTGAAAGGAAGTTCAGATCTACAGTGAAGGCATTACTATTGGAGCGGCCCTATTATAGTGTATCAGAGTATCTGGATGACCAGTTTTAACGTTCATTTCAGCAGAGCTTTTCATCAAAAAGTCTACCTAGGTTTTAGTCTTAATCTTAAGTTTAATTTGTGTATGTGCTTGACTTGTGTATGTGCTACTAATTCAAATTTTGTTTTTATATTTGTTTCTTTTTTTTTTGCTATTTTTAACTTGTCGATTTGTTTGACGGCATGTTAGGCATTATGTTAGTTTAAGTTTATGTTCAATACTGCATGTGTAATTCCAATGACCATATTGTTTTATATTTTATTTATTTTATTGGCTTTGTCAACAAGAATTTAAATTTTTTTATGACAATAAAGCATATTTTGATTTGATTTGATTTGATTTGACACTCATCCCCACTTTTTCAGCTATTGAAAAGCATCTGGTATTTTTTATGGGTGAAATATTTATCAGTGTCAATCTTTTATTTAGAAGCCAAAAAATTTGAGATCATTAAAAAAAAAATCATGTAAATCAAATTTTTTCTTCTGCAAATTTTCGAACGGGAGGCAGGCATTAAAATCACTCATATTCTCATCAGCTTAGTAGCCACATTCATCCCTCAAAATGCCAGACAAA